TTGCAACGAGATTGCCAATTTCTTGGTGAACAGGTGAAATAGAATTCAGTTCACACGAGCTGCAAGAACCGAGTTTCAGTACTTTGTCAATAGAGTAGAGCTATCTTTTTATTCGCTCGCTAAAACGATTTCTATAGATGCAACCGACCGAAGTAGGCGTGGTCCGATCATCTCAAACCACACCTCTCCATATGTTTGTTTCTCCAACCTCTACGTCTTTCACTCATGACGAAAGTACACCTGTTACGTGTATTTAGTAAATTTATGTGGATGAAAAAAGAAGCTCCGCCTCTCATCATTACTACAGGCAGGAAATATAAGCATAAACATGTATTCGGTATCTATGTTTTGGGAATAGAAAACGTCTGGTGCACAGAACCAGTGAGCTGAGGTCTGGGATTTTGTCAGTACTCAACCCGCTAAAGGCACAAGGCATTGGTTGCTTTGTATAGAGAAAAATAGATTTATTATCGTTTTCAATTTCGGTTTGTACAACCATCAATCAACCACTTTCGTGATCCGGTTTTGGTAGCTGTCTTTTAGCTACCCATTTGGACGAATCAGTAGAAGGAAGACAGCAAGGTTCCAATTTGACTCAATGAGGGAATTGAGGACTCAAGTAAAATATACCTGCAAACAAATTGAGAAGATGCACAAACGCCACTGTTCATGACACTCAACCATGTGGCTCAGTTTATCTAACCATCGGTCACAATTATCCTTAGGTCCACAGCCAGGGAACCTAACGGAACTTATGTGACGCAGTCTCCTGATTGGGGTTTTCATACTCTCATGCCAGGTCTTAGTTTGACCACCCTTGGCTTAAACCAAGCACTACCTGCCTCAGCAAACATCGCTCGCGGGGGCAACCTATTTGGTGACATGCGTAACAAGTGCCCCAATCAGCGGAGGTCTACCACTTGCTCCAGTGGGTGACCTAAAACTCTGCGCCTACCTCAGCATTGCTTGTCCAGCTGGGTTCGTGCAATGCTGCGTAGACAGCGATGTTCGAACACCGAACATCCTGTTTTCTTAATGATCACGTTTCTGTGCCGTATAGCAGAGCTGGCCGAACTGCCGCAGCATACACTCGACCCTTAACAGACAGCTGGATGTTGCGACGGCGCCACAGGTGTCTCAAGTAGGCAAATGCCAACCGAGCCTTCTGTATACGAGCAGACACTTCATCCGTGATGCGTCCACCGGGTGAGATGTAGCTGCCCAAGTAACAAAACTTATCCTTTTGTTCTATTACTTCCCCAATTACAGTGAGTTTGGGTGCTGACCGAACCCAGTCTTGTAGCAACATTTTACACTTTGAAGGTGCAAAACGCATACCGAACATGGCTACGCTGGAACCCAAGCTATTCAGGGAAGCTGGCAACTTACATGAGTCTTCGCTTAGTAGTACATTATCGTCCGCATATTCCAGATCAGGCATTCGGCCATCTGGGAGTAGATCGATGCCGCAATCCTCGCACGAGAATAGAGCTGTTTCTATAATCAAATATATAAGTTAGTTAAATACAAAACGAGAGAGAGGGTAACCCTGACAAACACACATTGATTCCATTCGACTCCACTAGGAAGGGCTTCCTACCTCCTGATTTTTGGTTCATCAATGAAACTTTTCTAGGAACTATGCATGAGTCGAAATTATTGATTATAGTGAGATTAAATGAGTGTGGGGGGATTTAGTATGGAGATCTTACGAAGAATAGTTTGGAGTACGCCATGACTTCGTGATTAACTTGTAAAGCAAAATCACCGACACCTATACAGCCGTTCTATTACTACTACTACTACTGGACCACACGAATAGTGAACGCGTAGTTGCCGGATACAGTAGACTGGCTTTACAGAGAACGGAGTCACAGGAAAATCGGACTGGGATTCATGACGATGTTTGGCAGAAGATAGCATGACTTTACTTGAATGACTCTATTTATGGGTAAATTTGTATATCCACACACATTTGAACACCGAGACCCCCAAAAACGAGCGAAAGAACATTTTTTGAAGCCAAAGTATTGTAAATTCGGTCTTGTGGCAGAGAAATTGTGGTACGTGATGAACTCCCACTTACCTCAGTGTGTCCAACTGACGTACAAGATTCTCTCGCTCAAGTGCGATATTCTCACTGAGTTCTATCGCCGCCTTGGCTCGTGTTCGACGATCTTCCCGTGCTTTCTTCTGCAGCATTTCAATATAATCCTTACAGTCGTTCAAGGCCGATTCCGTCTCGGTCAAGCGTTGTTCCAATTCCGCCTTCTCGTGTAGCAAACGCTCTTTCTCTTGCACAGTATTCATGCGAATTTTTTCCAGGTCGTCCAACTTTGTTCTGGCCTAAGTTTCATGAAAACAGCAAAGAGAAACAAATAATTATAGTGGAATTGAGAAAACGAGTCGGTGGGCGAATAACTGTTTTCGGATATTCCTAGTCATGCTCTTACATATCCTATAGTGGAAAAAAATCTTACATAATGATAGTCATTGGCTCAATTTAAGGTCATTAATCGGAGGTAGATAGTAATGGAAGTGTATGCGTGTGCGCGTGTAGGGATGTTTAGCGTGTTAGTTCATGTGACCTTTCCCCATTGGAGCAAGTGACATGTTATGTTCTGTCTTGGTTTTCGCACCCAGCCAAAGCAATTGGAGCGCCTGAATCAGTCGTTTTTGGGCACACAGTTTGGGGCCTAGTAAGCGAATGGCGATCGCCTCGGCCATGGCTAGTGTCCAAACTCGGGGCGCCTTCGATCGATTGAGTGGGATACGGTAAACAATATCGAAAGCTTTCTCCGGTTCGATCTTGTTCCCGGGTGTCGACGAGATGCCCCACGATTGCACTTCAGATACAGCCGGTTTTTCCTAACTTAACCATCGCGGGTGAGGCTCCTTAACGCGCTGAGATAAACGCCTTACCGTACCGCCTGTGTAACATGCACCACAGATGCACTTAAAAGAGTAAATTATCATGGATCACTTTCAGTTTTGGTAGTTTGTCTTTCACTTGCATTGGTATCACCGGTGATGTGGAGAACACTGGTCTAAGTTTGGCTGTGAGGAGAGTGGAATTCACAGCCGCTCTCAGTGATTGAACTAGGCTCTCTGTATGTGTGAGTCCCCCTTGAATGGGATTCTAATGAATAGTGCTTTCTTGGGGACAAAGGTGGAGTGAGCTGAATGTTCTTATCGATGAACTTTTCCGGGTAACCATTGTCCTGCAGCGTTTGGTGGATGGAGTGTAGTTCTTCATTCGCTGTGTCTGATGACCAAATTTTTCGGGCTCTGAAGGCTAGACACCGGACTAGATTTCGTTTGTATTTCACAGGAACGAAACTGTGGAAGTTGGTATATTGGCCTTCCTATGTTTTCTTTCTGTGGATCTGTCTTCTTACTGATCCATCTTCTTTCCTGGATACGGCTACATCCAGAAAGGCCAATATGTTGTTTGTTTCAACCTCTACAGTGAATTCCAGTCATGGATGTGCGTCGTTAAACGATTTCAGAGTCTGTGGGATGCAATGTTTGCGATCGATCACAAAGAAGATATCATCCATATATCTATTGTAGTGTGCTAGCCCTTCAGTAGTTTAGCTCAGCCTACTCCCTTCTAGTTTAGCCACGAAGATATCAGCTAGCAACGGACCAAGTGGCGATCCAATGTCAATTCCGTCTCTCTGACGATAGATAGCACCATCAAATATAAACTGGACGTTACTTGTGCAGCGTAATAACAGTTCCTTTAGATTTGTGACAGGAATACCAACGTCTACATTCAGTATTTTTATTTGATCACAGATGAATTCCACTGTCTCCATTAGGGATACATCGGTGAAAGATGAGACCACATCCAAGGAAAACATCGTCTTTTCTTGCAAATCTAGCTCTTCTATTGCAAGTACAAACTGGAACTTGTCTCGGAGACTAGAAGTGGCGAGCTTCCGACGGATGGGTTCTATTAATTCAGCCAACCACTGTACCGTTGTGTGATATGGCTATCATTATGTAGGACGTTTTCCACTGTATGATATGTAAGAGCATGACTAGGAATTTCCGAAAACAGTTGTTTGCTCACTGACTCGTTTTCTCAATGCTATCATGGGAATATAGTGGAATTATTCGTGTGGGGAGTAAATGAATGGGCAGCTTGCGTAGAAATTCAAATAGGCCTCGATGAATCGTGCTCTGATAGCAAACACCACACATTTATGATGGTTATTAAATCACTTTAGATATTTCTGATATTTGTGACACAAAAGAGACTAGAGATTTGCTTTACTAGGTGACAAATCAAAATCATTCGTTGACAGTCTTCAGTTTTGAGGGCAGAGGGCAGGACTGCTGTTCATTACGAAATATAACCGTCGAGTGATACCTGGTAGCAAACAGGTTTTCTGGAATGAAAAACGGATCAGGTTTGTTTCGCGTAACCCAATTTCCAGTTGATCCCCTCTTACCTAGTATCCCAGGAACAGCGTTATTACCCCGCCAAATATACCTCGGTCTGAATCCCACGTCAAAGATTAAACGGTCACCAGGTCAAAGGTTTCCAGCGCAGATGACAGAACCTAACCATGTGCACGGTGCTCTCGGGGTTCCTACAAAGCAGTTTCGAGTTTTGTTGCACTGATCCGAATGAAGATCCTAAAGGAACCTTACCGGATCTCCCTTTAGTTTGTTTGCTTGAGTATCGCCCCAGCTTCATCCTCTGTCTGTAGAACCGCTTTCAGAGATTGCGGAGAGTTGTTATCCTGGCGAATTTATCATTTAATTCCTTGTCTTCAAAGGCCTGAGTAATGTCGGGGCAGGGTGTCTAGGGTTGCGGTTGATTACCCTCCCAGTGCACTTCGAGAAATGCTCCCATACGACAAAGCGTCTCGAATAGCCTCTGTCCTACTCACTGCCTTCTCGTGCGAGTGGGAAGAACAAAAGCTGACAATCGGGGCTATAACCGAGGTAGTGGACTACTGGTAGTTCCCCAAAAGGGGTTGCCCAAAAACGCTGATTCCAAACCATCCAAGAGCAGGTGTACGAATCAAGCACACAACTTCCTGGTTGTGACAGTGGTCACCGGCTCGATGGGGCATCGAGTTATATTGGGCACCTTGGATGCTTGACTCCGTCCGGAGGGCGTATGATCCGATGAACTGGACATCAGACCCCAATGGATTGCGGTTTTCGCACACCGTCCCGCTGTCTTGTGGGTAAGGCCTCGGATAGCCGAAGGCTCCGGTTGTGGATTCCTCAAAGAGGTTCACCTGCCTTGGTCTGGGCAATCTGGCGGTATTCGGCCCATATATAAATCATGGAACGTTTTTCTTTTTCACAAAGATTATTTTACCATGATTTGTCTCCCAGACGAGTGTGAAATATGATGTACGTGAGGACAAGTTGACTTTTTTCATGAATCTATCTATGCAGAAGTTTGAAGAATTGTTTTGTCAGTAATGCAAACATTTTCTTTACAGATGCACCTCAAGGTTTGGTCCAGTGATAGGGTAGCAGCGTGATGATGACAGTCATATTGGGAAAACGGATCAAATTGGCACGTATAATAACGTTTTCCACTAACTATAGTGAGACCTAGTGCGATAGATAAAGCGTTTACCATAAAACCGATATTTCCACACTCCTCCATCGTGCTACGGCCACTCGCTTAGCAAAGTGCGTAACAATTATGACCCGCATAGACAAGCATTCAGAAAATACAGTTATCAATCGAACTATTGTAATAGCCTGACTTTCATCAGACTAGTTCTTCTAAATTTTTATTGCTTGCTTTGAACTTCATTCACAGGTTTTAAATATGATACTCCCCTTCCCACAGACACATCAGGTGCAACATATCTGTGTCCAGTATCCACTTCTATTACTTGAATAGCCAATACACGTACGATTTCTGGATTTCGATCACGGTTATTGGTGCACCAGTTGCATGATAATGAAGACTCGATAAAAAAAGACATCTTTGGGGATTTTGTTACAATAGCAAATGACTCAAAAGCATGACACAGTTTGTCATACTTTCATTTTGTCAAAGTCAAAGTTTTAGTATGGAAATTTCTTACAAGCTCATGATTCTCTTGTCCCCATAGGACATTTACACAACTGAATCGTTTCACGGCGAAAAGAATCACATAGAGTTCCAGGTAGGAGATTATAGAGAATGTAGGCTTCAATGAATTTGCGTTTGCTTTTAGTGGTGTAGGAATGTGAGGTGTACCAAGGTTTCATCAATAGATGGTACATAAACGACGTGGAATAGAAGGGTGTTCTAAGTACAGCATACTCTGATTGCAAAAGATCGGCGCCGGCATTCCAGTCGATACTTTGGAAGCAGTAACTTGAAACGGTGTCCCCTAAGGTGTACATTGTTCGACAACATGAGCAGGTGACGTCGATGGTTTGGATTCTGCAGTATTTGATACGTCAAAATCAAGTCTCCTCGAATTCGGCGGTACTGATCCGAATATACTCTCAATGATTATAATCTCTCCTCATAGGTGAGGTGATGCAAATTATTGACCAACCTGGTGGCCGTCGTTTGTGGGCGCTCAAGCATCTTGCGATCACGTTGCAACCATGGCCTCAAAGCTTGGATGGCGTACTCTGTGTGCGGTCGAATGTACACTGATATCAAAGGTGGAAAAAGTGTTGATTCAAATCGACCAAAGACTCACCTAAGTAAGCCATCGTTCTTCACAACAGCGGATGAAGCCCAAGCGCAGTTGATCGAGCGGCTTAAATCCTCCTGAACAAAAATATCTAAATCCTTCTCATTTCAAATATTTGGTAGCTGCGGGTTTCTGAGGAAATACCAACATCTTCTCTTGTGGTGTAGGGATAGGAATTTGAATTTAGAAACATTGAATTCAATGTCGTTCTCTTTAGACCACTGATAAGCTGTGCTAAGTAATTCTTGAAGTGTTAAAGAGCTCTTGGGTTCTGTTACTGTATTCCAGATTTTGGCATCATCTGCAAACAATATTGTTTTGGGACCTAACACTTTCGGTAGATTATTTATGAATGCAAGAAACAGACGGGGTCCGAGTACAGACTCTTGTCAGTGCTTTATTTGTTCCTCTTAACTTGGGAGCACTTGGATCAGTAAAAATTTAACCGGAGGTACAAGAGAACTGATAACATTGCCACGGAAGACAGTTTGGAATAAATACGCCTCATTCATAGAAGCTCATTCAGTGGACTACTGTAAATTGTGAGGAAAACCTGCCGGGGCAGTCAGCTTACATAATAGCTGATGGATGCCCTATGCCTCTGTAAGTTGTATGGGTAATTCGAATGTGAACAGATTAGTGCTATTGGTGTATGGCCTCGTACCTCAGCTGGTGGAGCGTTCACGTACGAAGCGTAGGCGGCTTCCATTCGTGGGTTAGAATCCCGCCGAGGCTACTGAACTTTTCACAGCCGCCATACAGACTTCAAATCTGCAAAGCAACAATTTAAACAAATGGATTTCTGTCAGCTTTCTACTGAATGGGGTATCAGTAATTTGGACTTTGTTCACTGGGGACAAACAAACCTGTTCGTATTGTTGGAGCATCTCGGAGGCCAAACTTTCCTTTCGTCGTAACTCGTTTGCCAAACCTTCTCTCAATTTCCGTTCCTTGTTTCGCTCCTGTCAGATAGGAAGTAAAACAATACATAGCATGGGCATTCATAAACTAATCATCTTTCAAAAACGATTGGAATGGAGTGAACATTTCTGCTAGCTGACAATTGCACGTTATGGACAAAGCGAACAGGAATGTGTAAACTGGATGAATTGTGAGTTCACCTGAAAGAGTTTGATGGACTTAAACAAGCGTGTACTCAATTTCGGTATGCGGAAAATCTCGAACCGATTATGATATTGTGATGATCCCAGCCTGCGAGATGACGCATACCCTGGATCGACGTGTTACAGTTTAAGGACAACTGTGACCAATCAAGCTTCGAGGGTGATGTCGGAAAGCGGGGGCGTGTCAGATCCTGGACTACATAGGTCGATTGTGCCAACCAGTCAGAAACCGTGCAGCCTAGACAGAAGCTGAACAACGGCGGAAATGTCAGAATGCTATTGGCAGAGGTCCGGATGACCAATGAGTTCGATTTGTACATATTATTTATTCCCCCTACTCTCTTTCAATAAACGAACTACTAATCCTTTGGCCTTTTCCTCGCGTATCGGTAATGTGGGTTATTGCATGCTAGTGCCAGTGTGGTCCAGTGCTTAGGTAACTTTCGTGACTGCTAATCAGTGATTCGTATTCCTTGTTTATGGCGTACAACTACTGCCAATAATACAATGACCACAGATATCTGCTGTGACTCAACCCCAAAGGCGAAAGGTATTTACTCCACCCACTGTCTTTGCGCAAACATTTTTATCTAGACATCACACTTTCTGTTGACCCATCCTCTGGTTATTTCCCCAATCGCGTGTGGTGAAATGTTTGAGAGTTACGTGGGAGTATGCGGAAAAAATACCGAAACCCGGTACTCTTGGCTCGGGTGAACTGATGTCCATTTAATTTGTGTGTCGAGCTTGACAATTTGCCGGCAAACGTTTCACCACCAGCCGAGGTGACGTCGTCAGCGATTGTGAAGTGGCAGTGTTCCGCTTTTACTCCGTCGCTTACATTTGTGCTCTTCTCAGCCCACTATTTCTCTCCCTTGTTCTCACTGTGTTCGACTCGGTCCACCATTGATCTGGTGCGAGAAGATGAAGGTGGGGATAGGAGATAAGAAGGATTGTAATTCCGTCTGGGTTGCGGTTTTTGTCCGTTCTCATTTCCCAACGTGACCTTTTGTTACGTCACTATGATCCATGAATTCAATTACCACAGGAGAATCAGCTGTGGAACGTCGAGTCATGTAGGAAATTCGGACTTGAAAACGTTCAAACGATGATGACAGTGGGTCAATATTTGATGCATAAAAGATACACGCACTATTTTTCTAAGCGGGTTCGGTAAACGTATAATCATAATGAAACTGAACTTGTCTTAAGTGCGGATTATAACATGCAGTAATATAGGCTAACGCGAAACTCGTCTTGGTATTTTCCCAACTGGCTCTTTTGCGTTGAACGATCTTCCTAACTATGTCGCTGACTGAATTCCGGAGGAGAGAGCAAATATTATAAAAAATGTATATCTAATTTATAAAAGTTGTTCAATAGGTTTTCCATCCTGCTACTTTCATCTGCTCAACGAATGGAGTTTGTAACATTTCCGTTCACATGAAAAATGGCTTCATCCGTGAAAACCGTTTGCCACATATCCAAGTGTGTCAGGTACCATGTGCAAAATTCTAGTCAGCGCTCAGACCCATTGAAAAGAATATCTAAAGCGAACCGTTTATTCCCGAAAACCGAGAAGGATAGAAGAGCTAAAACAGTGCTCATGTACTCCAACTTTTACTGTTCTGAAGGTGGAAGAAAACTATCTTCGTCGTATTTTGCCATGCAAGCAGCAGGATGGAAAACATGTTTTACAACTTTTATAAATTAGATATGCATGGTATAATCCGCACTTAAGACAAGTTCAGTTTCATTATGATTATACGTTTACCGAACCCGCTTAGAAAAATAGTGCGTGTATCTTTTATGCATCAAATATTGACCCACTGTCATCATCGTTTGAACGTTTTCAAGTCCGAATTTCCTACATGACTCGACGTTCCACAGCTGATTCTCCTGTGGTAATTGAATTCATGGATCATAGTGACGTAACAAAAGGTCACGTTGGGAAATGAGAACGGACAAAAACCGCAACCCAGACGGAATTACAATCCTTCTTATCTCCTATCCCCACCTTCATCTTCTCGCACCAGATCAATGGTGGACCGAGTCGAACACAGTGAGAACAAGGGAGAGAAATAGTGGGCTGAGAAGAGCACAAATGTAAGCGACGGAGTAAAAGCGGAACACTGCCACTTCACAATCGCTGACGACGTCACCTCGGCTGGTGGTGAAACGTTTGCCGGCAAATTGTCAAGCTCGGCTAGCAGACGAAATGGAAGGCAGGAGCATCACGAATCATGACTAGTGAAGTCCTCTTCTGGGAACTCACTGTGGCACCGAGCTTCCCACGCAAAATGCGTGACTGGCAGACAGACAGTCAAGGAGTCCGTCAAACAGATAGACAGGCAGACAGACAGACAGACAGACAGACAGACAGACAGACAGACACTGAGCTGACTACTGACTGACTGACTGACTGACTGACTGACTGACTGACTGACTGACTGACTGACTGAATGACTTACTGACTGACTGACTGACTGACTGACTGACTGACTGACTGACTGACTGACTGAATGACTGACTGACTGACTGACTGACTGACTGACTGACTGACTGACTGACTGACTGACTGACTTATTGACCGACTGAATCAATTAATTTATTTATCTATCAATGATTGATAGTCAGATTAGAAATAGATCATCGTGATTGCATTCCTTATCCGCCAAGGTGGCATATTGCCGAACGTCTGCGCTTTACAGTCTAGTTGTTTTGATGAACGAAGTCTTAGGCGGTTCAGTTTATCATTGTGTTCAACCAATATATGTTCACAAGCGGGAATGGAATCGCAAGCGATTGCAACAGAAACAAGCAACCAAGGTGATGACCCGGAAAATGCTTCAGAAGACCAGTTTAAGAACTTATCACTATTGTTAACTATGAGTTGGTCCTATTATTGATTTTCAATTACAATCTTCTTCACCTCGCTCGTGGTCTATAGAGGTTTGCCGCTCATGTCTAAAAATGGTGGTAGCGTGTTGCTCATCACCATGGTATATTCTTCTTGAGTTTACTAATAAAGAAGTTATTCCGCTCTGATCAAGTATAAGCCAATTAGCAATATTGTGCTAATCAATATCATTTTCATGAATTTTCAAAGGATGAAACATACCATGGTTTAGTTTTTTAATTTTGTGGTTCATCAGTATCAAGGAGCCAAACTGAATTTAGTTCAATTTTCAAAAAAGTACATCAATAAAATGGAAACCATGAGAAATTGGATGAACGCACAAAGGTGCCCTGTTTTTTAGACAGTGTGCTGGATTGTGTCAGTACCTCCCCGCCCTCGGAATACAAAAGATGATCTTTAATCACATGTTATTCGTTTGTCACAGGAAGAGAAATGTCATCGATTACACGTCTTCTACGCGGCTGAAGGGAACAAATCACGTGATGGTTTTCATTGGACCTACATTACAAAATGTGAGCAATCAATTTTGTCCCCCACTCCCAACGAATTGGACACCACCTACTCGGTCAAAGAACCACTCAATAGTAGACGGTAAATAGGACTGGTCAGTTATTCTAGCTCTAATCGACTGTCATTTCTTTGTCGTTCAACTTATTACTGAAGTAACCATGACATTTGTGTGTTTCATCACTTGACCCCATACTGATCTGTCACCAGAAACCTGCGTAGATATTGTGCGCTCTTTAGGCGAGATCTTTCATATTGGGTGCGAGTCGAAAGCGGGATAAAATCAATTAATCGATACATTTCATCGCAATCGTTTTTGCGGCCACATCAGTCGGTCAGCAAAACGATCGGGTGCGCAGCAGATCGACCATGCGGACTATTCCAGAGGGAAAACTGTGCAATACTTTGTGCATTATCCTCTGTGTAGTGGATCCTATCCTATCCAGTTTGATTGAAACCAAATGGAAGAGTGGAGGATGGGTGAGGACCAGTAATGCCCAAGACTGCTTGAAAAGAAGAGGTCTCACAGCGTCAAGACGATGACATGATGAGAATAAAAGCAGTTGGACTGAAATGGACTTTCTATCCAAGTGTGTGTATGTGTGCCAAGCTGGGGAAAATAATTTACGGGTCATTCCGGAGCAGGTTATGCTAATGTGAATTGTACCAAAAACTGACAGTGTGTAAGACATGTTGGAATATTAGATAAACGTTGAACTGGTCACAATTCGTCGAAATGCTAAGAACCGGGTGGTTGAACTTATTGAGGCAAGTTTCAAAAATGGGATCGCGAAGAGCACTTAATGATGATGATGATGATAATGTACAAAGCTTTTCTTTTCTTAGTGAAGCTTGGCATGAAACCGGATCAGACCAGGCCATGTGGCGGTGTTTCATGATAAACCCCAGTGGAAATCTCCAGAATATACCCGCATTTTCGCATGCATTAAACTAGACGTCGCACCGTGCGGCCGCACATACGTGTAATTCCCCCCCCCCCNCCCCAGCTACTAGACTCCGGTCACTATGACCACAACTTCCGAAAAAAATCATTATTGTGGTGAAAGTAAAAAAATGAATTGTACATCTCTTATTGGTCAATACTGTACAACAAGCAAGTGAGGTTGAGGAAAATTACCTCTTCCAGAATGCGTTCTTTCTCCTGTGCCATTTGCTGTTCCATTTCCTCAAACAACTGGCCCAGATGCTCTTCTTGTCTGGTCAACTTTCTGCAATGGAAAGGGGGTAATGAGAAAAAACAGATTTTGTTGTTCAAATACAAGCGGACAAGATGATCCGACGCATTTATTCAAGCTTATGCGTTCTATTATTTGATGGAGAGCTGGCTAAAGAAATATTGTGTGCCCATTGAACTCAGCACCGGATAAGTAAAATGTGTATTTATAATGGGGTTGGAACACGTATCAGTCAATCGTGTTATTGGTATTCAGTTACATGAGATGCAGAAAAAGTACATTGAAATCTCCATTTTGCTTCTCGAAATGAAGTTCTCGTTATTGTTCAAAGCAAGGAACACAATATAGTGCAATAGTCGATCATTTTTTCGTCAACGACCAAAAACCGGTTATTACCTTGAACACACTGACAACTTCTTCGATCTCACTGCATCCGAGTGGAAAGAGTGTTTAAAACGATTAATGGTTCTTCCTATGCAATACTGATCACATAACCTTAGTCACTTGATTGATCAGAATGTGGAGTCATATTGTTTGACCAATAACGGATTGCAGTTGGCTTAGGTTTGAATAATAGAATAACTAGTAGCCTGGATGATATTCGAACCCACGCATGAACGACACCACGGACGCTTTTTTATAACTGAGCTAAGACCCCACATCGGCGATAATGCTTTTTCATATTAGTATTACTCATTCAACCTACACAAGCATCAGGTAGCATATAAGCTGAATAAAACGACGAGTTTTCTTTTAAATAACCCGGGGTTATGGGCACAAACGGTTGAAAAAATGTTGGAAAATCGGTTCTCGTAGCTCGGCTGAACTGACGTCCATTTCCCGTGTTTGCCCAGTTTGGCAACTTGTTTGCAAGCGTTTTATCCCCAGCCGCGGGTGACATCATCAGTGCTTGTGAAGTGGCAGTGTTCTGTTTGTATCCGTTCCTACACATATGTGTTTTTCTCAGCCGACAATTTTTCTCCCTTGTTCTCAATGAGTTCGACTCGGTTCACCGTTAAACTAATGCGAAGGGGGTGAGGGTTGGAGGTGCTTGTCCTTCTGTCCTGATTGCGGTTTCCGTCCGTTCTCAGGTCACGGAGTCACCTGAGAACGTGGCAACGGTGTGACACCGGTCTACCGCAAGGCAATACATAAACAAACTTCAAAAGTAACCATCCACACAGTCACAAAACATGCTCTGTTACAACTGTGTTCGGAAGAATCCAAACAGCCAATTCAAGTCAAGTCAAGTCAAGGATTAGTTTTATACACCTCGAGAGGTGGATATTCAGCAACCACATAACAACGTGTTAACAGGACATGGAGAAAACAAACAATATAATACAGCAATTAAAGGATGTGAAAAAGGACAGCAACATCAGAAATCAATGGCATACCCGGGTGTTTATGATGGATTTATTTTAGCGTTTTGCGCAGATTTCCTGCAACGAGTTCATGGTTTGTTAGAAATCTGGCGAGATCCGAGACAGTAGACCGCCTGTAGGCTTCACTGCGTGTCTTTATAAGTTTGTGAGTGAAACAGGTGAACGAGTGAGAAAGGCACTGACTAAGGGCGGAATGAAGAGGATGGGAAATATCTGACAAAATCTTGTTGGAGAATGTTTCACGGGACTTGAGGTGATGTGTCACCACATAATGTACCATATGTTCCCGTGATATGAGACTGCAAACTGACAGAAATCTGAGGGATCGGGAAATGAGTTTGAGGTCCTTGGTAAAAAGACCAAGGAAGATAATAGAAGGGGGCCATAAAGCTAGTGATGCAAAACGCACGCAAAAACAAAACGTCTTATGAGATGGTTTGGAATGGAGAAGTAATTTAAGACGTAAAACAAAACGTGAGCCTCCTGACCTTCAGAAGAACGTCATTAACGTGGTCAGACCGGGTGAGGTTACGGTTGAAAATAACTCCCAGGTACTTCACAGACTTTTTACGTTCCATCTGGTCACTGAGGATAGATAAAGGCGGGCTGGCATTTGACAATTCATCATACATTTGCCCTTTCAAAAAAGAAAAAAGTTACGTCATTACATTTTTGGGGGTTCGTGTGGAGGTTCCTTTGTTGAGACCACTCAACTATTTCCCACACGTCTTCTTGTAGAGTGGTTTGAAGTGATGAGTTGGGGTAGGGCAGTCCGAATATTTTGTCGTCTGCATACTTAACGTGAAGAGAAGAATTACTCACAGGCGTAGAGGAAATGTAAATAGAAAGTAGAAAACGGGATAAAATAAGGCCTTGCAGTACGCCTGTTGAAGAGGGCAACAGTGAAGATATACGACCTTTGTAGTGTGTGAACTGCTGACAGCAGTATCGACATACTTAAGAGGAAATACGATAGTGGATCATGTCTCCCGACTGCCGATTGTTGTTCACAGATCCTTGTTAATAGTTTCTCCCAGTTTGTCCAATTTAATGTTTTGGACAGTTCTTGCAGTTTATTTTGTAGATAACGCTGCTCTTGTCCTTCTCCATTGTTCTCTTTCTTGGTTTTGACAGAACTCCCCTGAGACAAGCGATCGGTTTATAGGCGAGTTGGATTCCATATGATCTCAACGGTCTTACTGTTGTTGTTCTTGTTCGTGATTCGTCGTCTGTTGTTTCCTTCTTTCCTTTAGCCAGAGTTCTTTTGATGAAGTTACGATTGTAGCCATTGAGGGCAAACACTATGTGTAGGTATCTTTCTTCTTTCTTCTTGAGTATGTCGGTGCTGCAGTGTGTTTAGATTCTTCCAAACACAGCATCTTTTGTGGCTGTGTGGATGGTTACTTTTGAATTTTAGGATTTCATTTTTTATGTGTGGCCTTGCGGTAGACCGGTGTCACACCGTTGCCACGTTCTCAGGTCACGGGGTGACAGATAGTGTGAAATGATGGAGCAATCGCAATGTCGTACTGTGCACATCACAACATAACATCTCAAATTGATACCCAGAATTCTTAAATAATGCTGTGACATCCGAAATATTCGGATATCTTAAATTGAAAAAGGTATAGATCTCGTGTGCACGCCTATGAAACTTATGGATCATAGTGACGTAACAAAAGGTCACGTTGGGAAATGAGAACGGACAAAAACCGCAACCCAGATGGAATTACAATCCTTCTTATCTCCCATCCCCACCTTCATCCTCTCGCACCAGATCAATGGTGGACCGAGTCGAACACAGTGAGAACAAGGGAGAGAAATGGTGGGCTGAGAAGAGCACAAATGTAAGCGACGGAGTAAAAGCGGAACACCGCCACTTCACAATCGCTGACGACGTCACCTCGGCTGGTGGTGAAACGTTTGCCGGAAAATTATCAAGCTCTGCGTGCAGGCGAAACGGAAGGCACAAATTGTGTTGTTTGACGGATCTGATCTGGTCTCCTCACCGTTCAAACGCAAAGGCTGCCATTTTGTCTACCGTAGACTAACCAACATAATCTCGGATAAAATAAACCCAACTCAATAAGTTCGTTTGAGAGATTCCGGTGGATTTTGAGAATAACCTGTTTTGGTATCCGGATTGCACGATCAGTAGGTGATTGCAGACATCTGCCCCGTACATTAGGGCAATTGGCGCAAATAATGTGGAATTGATAGAAGCGTTTCAGATGGTTTGGTTAAAAATGAAGGTTGCGAATTAAGTCTTTCATGTTCACATGCGGATACATGTTGAACTCTAACCATATATAAAAGTATACTGGCGTTAAAACCCGATTGAATGTTGTATGCAACTTGATTTATCGCATTGAAACTATTTACAACTATTTAGAACACAATTTTAGGCGATCAGTTGATTTCCATAACTCATAACCATTCCGTTGCACTATATAGCAGAGGAGAAAACCCTGGAAGCACCGATCTGAGAATGTGGTGTGCAACACACAAACAACGCGATCGATCCTTCACATCCTAACGTTATCTCCCGACCCTTAGGTTGGCGGTGACCTGAGAGATTTGTCACCAGCTTGTGACCGGTGAGTCCCGGGTTCGAACTGCACTGCCGCCGCCCGTCTTCCTTAACAGGCTTTATATGGCCGCGACTCTCGTTCCTGAATGTTGACTGTACACTTGTATATTCAATAAGTAAACGAGGAAGGGATAAATAGATTTATTTATTATAATATGTAACGGCAAGACAATGAGTTATTTTAAGTAATTATTAGCCTGAAATTATGGGT